CTCTTACCAACATAGCCAGGAGTGCCGCAGGCTGTGGACATCACATCTCCTTTACCCTCCATCTTTGACAATCCAAAGTCACTGATCATAATTTTTGACTCTTCATCCTGGCTGTAGTAAAGCAGGTTCTCGGGCTAGAAAGGAGAACAAGCAAAGTGGGTTTTGAATATGTAAATCCAGTAACAACATCTGTTGGCTGATGCTTTGCATTTAATACAATCCTTAGTTACCTCACACACTGATTTAATTTGGTTCCCCTAAATCCTAAAGAATTGCTTCTACAGCCTATACGGAGAACCTCTCCAGACTCCTGTATGGTGACTAGTGGAAGAAGCTGACACCTTAAGCTTTGAGTAACTTTCCTGGGATAAAAAACTTCTCCTTTGACACCCCAAACGAGAACTAAGGTTCCTCCTTTACTTGTGAGGCATGTCCAACATACTATCATTTCAGAGTGATAAAACAGAAGGATTCATTTGAAGGCAGGTAAATATGGTAAATCCAGGTAGTGTAATGAAAAAATTTTATACAGCATTTAAAAGAAGAAAAAGGAAAACAGTAGGTATTAGAGAATTTTTGTATCTTCTCCACTGGAAATAAACTGTTGTGAGAGAGAAAATGCGTTTACAATTAACAGAGTTGCAGCAAGGATGTTTTAGCTAGAGATGATTAGCAAAAAATGCCACAGCACTAAGCACAACAACTTATTTATGCTGAGAGAAAACAAGAGTCACTTCACAAAGCCCTGTGACTTTATACCGACGTCAGACGGGTTGGAGAGCCCAACCAAACTCCATCTGCTACAGCATAGTCCTCCATCCATATGTTTTGAATGTGCCGTTGCTACACAGCAAAGCTCTCGCTAGGTGCTGTGAGAGCACACTTCTTCCCCTACTTAATATCTGGGCTCGCAAAAAGGTCCAGCATCTGCTGGCACTCTGACAGCCTGGTGGGAATGGGTGCCATTGCACCTCCCGGACCTCGGGGTCTTCATCTATAAAAGTGATGGATACCCAATGTTTCAACATAACCCTGGTGTAGACTTTTGCCCAGAAGCTGGTACAAACGCCTACCCGCATGCAACACATTTTGTCTGTCAGCCCGCCGTGTGCTCCAGGAAACGGGGAGAAGTAGCTGGGGCCACACAACATCATCAAACTCCTCGGGACACATCCAAGCCTGCGTTTGTAAGGAGAAGCAATCGCAGTGCAGCAGCACCAGCATCTGTCTTCCCTCCTTCATCCCCATAACCTCCTGCTCTGGGGAAAGCGGGGATGAAGAAGCGCCGGGGGGTGACGTCCCCTCCACCCTACTCTGAGGTTCCCGTTCAGCTTCAAGTGGAGGTTAAAGCACTTTCTGGGTCCCCAGCCCCAGCATGAAGCCATGTAGTGATGGTTTTATCCATGGGACACGATGGCCATGAGAGGATTTACAAGCTGCGTCCACAGCTGTGAGCCAGCTGGGACTGAGGCAAAAAGGGAGACGATTCCGTTCTTAAAAATAATTATGAAGTTGTATCATTTATGTTTCTTTCCCATGATACCTCGTAAGTCCAGTGCTTTAACTGGCCGTTATAATGCTGACACCCTGTGAGTCGGTTTTATGCCATGGTCTGCCCTTGGTTGGAGCTACTCCTGATTTTTACTAGTGCACTTCTGATCTGCTGAGGGGTTGGTAGAGCTGGTATTAAGGGAAAGACAATTATTTCCCAATGGTTTCTGCTAATTCACTTCAGGCCCCCGCTTACTCATATTTAGTAAGGCCAAGAAACCCATCCGTTTAAAACTTAAACTTGTTTAAAACCCATTTAAAAGAACTCTGGTTCTTCAAGCTGGTTAATTCAAAAAGCGTTAATGAGGTGGCTCTGTACCAAGCAGAGCTGCTGGAGCCTTTCAGTTCTTTTGCACGTCCTGGACTTCTCTGGACTTCGTCTGCTGCCTTCTCTTGTTATCTGCTGCTGCGTTATTTAGATTAGAGACTTGGAGCACAGATCTGCTTTTCCCGACTACAGCAAGTTCTATTTTGGTATCTGAATAACACATAATTACAATAAATAATTGTTATAGATGTTTCAAGGGTTGTATTTTTGTAGAGTGGATTCTTTCCCAGAGTTTCATTTTGGGGGATCACAATTTGAAACTTGCACTTATCTTGATATTTTGAGATCATAAAAAGCCTTATTATATCCCTATTTTTGCCATCATGCTATGTTTGTGCTAACAGAAATTCACAGCAGGTGTTCCTCATATACCGTATTTTATAAGTAATTTTAACAACTGATATGGTACTGACAAAGACTTGCAAACAAAAAGAAAGAAAGATTCTATGATTCTAGAAAAAGAGCTAGTCTTTGCCCCAAAACACCATTGGAGAAGGCTGGCTTGATCTAAATGCATCATGTCCTTACATAAACTCTGAAAGCACTTTGTAGAAGAATCCTCTTCCCAATTACCAGATCTCATATTTTATTATAGGAACTTTTTAATAAGATTAATCTGTTTTAAAGTGAGAGCTACAGCCTTCCTTTAAATTATAAAGACAGGAATATTAAGAGCTTGTACAATTGAATATCCGAATTAAGAGGACTCTGACCTCCCTCCAAAACCTCTGGTTGCAGAAAGAAGCCTGAAGTTATTTCCGACAAATTGAACTCGAGAGAAAGCTGATCATGTTAAAATACTAAACAACACTTCCATACTGAAATGTGGTGTAACTCCAGTAAATACGAGAATATTTCTAGGTACTTCAGCACAAGAGCAGGAATTGAATGGGAACAGAGAGCAACATGTGAAGACTGTAGGAGACGGAAAACTAACCAGTGCCTCCTTGCACAAAACCCATTATTTGGGACTGTTAGGACTAAACTGCACAACACTGAGAAAATACTATTTGCGGACGTCAGCGTATATTTTCCTTCAGTGGATTCAAGGTTTTGCCTTAAAAATGTGCCAAACCAATATTTTTAAAAATATATTTCTACTACCTATTAATCTACTCTATCTTTTGAAGCGAAGACCATAGGATGCCCACTTCTGGCAGAGGTGTCCAGGACTGAGGAAAGTCCCTTGCAGCAGTAAGGTGTGGAAAAGCTCGCAATCCCGGGGGAACAACCCCTACGCAGCAAAAAGATTCACATTTGGAGTCAAAGAGTGGCGGAAGGAAGAGACTGTGTTAAGGTTTTCGAGGCCATGTCTGCCTGTCTGGGCGCTGCTCCACCTTGGTGCTGGTGGTTACACTGGTAACGGGCTCTGCTTTGGCCCCGCTGCATCACATCTTGGAATAATTATTTTACTCCATGCAGCATTTCACATCAGGACTAATTTTGGAGGAGATAAAAAGCAAATAAATAGTATCTCCCATTGCGACAATTTTTCATCCATCTTAAGGCAAAACAGTGAGGTGACATTGCTGGCACTACAATCTTTGCTAAGAGGACTTGCCAAAAATTGCAAGTATGACGTTTAATATTAGAACACATTAAAAATACAATTAATTTTAAAATGCATTCAATAAAAAAATGTATTTAAGAAGTAAAAAAAAAAGAAAAAAAACCTTCTTTGTGGCTCTTGACTCAATCAATGTTCATTAAGCCTTTACATAATATGACCTGTTTAGCCAAATTCCACTATCTTTACATTGGGGAAATTCAAGGGCACAGCATCAACATCCAAGGCAACTCCTGTTTGGAGCATCCCTCCAAAACATAACCTGAGGTGTTACCTCATTCACTGAATCCTTAATTTCTGGCAGTAAACACTGATAGAATTAACTAGCTCAGGAACTGAAGCCACAGTTTTCTTTTGACAATTGTATCTTTTTCTAATGCCTTCTGCTAATTTATTATTTAAGATACTAAAGATGGGGAGGTTTAGCTGTGTGTTATGAAATCCAAGCCTTTCTGCTTATTTTAGTGACAGTTTAAGATACAGGAAGGAAACAATACAGAAATAATGTTTTGGGGTTTTTTTTGCCAGAAAAGCGGAGAGGTTTTGATGTAATGTACAGCTGAAAGGAAAATTATCTAAAAATCACATTGGCACACAATGTTTCTTAGAAGAATCCTTGCTGTTAACAGTGTCTCCAAAAACGCTGGTTCAAATAGCACGATAGGAAATCATTCCACTTTCCCACACTATTTATTGTTTCTGATTATTATTAAGTAAAAGTAAATATAGCACAGCAAATCTGCAGGATACTTTACAGAAGTAAACACTTACATCCCAGCTGAGTCTCCTGCCTTAATGTAATGTTTTGGGTCTTAATGAATTACTTTTGTCCCACATGATATGTGCAAAACTCCCATTGTAACAGCATTGATTGCAAAGTCCTCATTAAAACTAATTACGATGGGAGGATATGGAGCCTTCAGAGCATCCCTCTTACAGTAAAACCTTACTGAAACAGCCAGTCCCAGGGGAGGCTGGATTTTCATGCGTTAGACTCACATAATTATGCATCTCTCGTTAACACTGCCCGGAGGACCGAGTCACACTGCAGTCGTACCTTGAGGTCCCTGTGCACGATGCCCATTCGGTGCAGGTAGTAGACGGCATCCAGGACCTGCCGGATCAGGGTGCTGGCATCCTTCTCGGTGTAGAACCCTTTCTCGACGATGCGGTCGAAAAGCTCTCCCCCAGACACTCTGGAAAACATGACGGGATGCAGAAGTGTGAGGATATGCTTTGTAACGTGCTTTCTACCTCGCTCAAGGATGGCCAAGGCCGTGCACTAGCCACAGGCAGTCCGAGCACACGTCCGTCTGGAGCTCTGGGGGCTTCCCCACTGTCCCAATAAGCATTTGGTTTTGGTTTCTTCATAGTCTGAGGACTCTGCCTCTGAGACCAGAAGAGTAGCAAGGGGCAAAGAAAAGAAGTCACAGAACTAAACCAGAAATAGTCATGCTGTAATGGACGATAAAATCCATCACACATCAGAGAGTGGCCAAAGACTCACTAGCACTTGCAGAGGGAAGCCACAGCTCTACCCCAGCAAGGGCCGGGGGGAGCAGACACCAGCTTCCATGCTGTCCCACCCGAGCGATCTTTGTACAGGTGAATGCGGTCTGCCCTTCCTGCTGGGGCTGGCCCACCGAGGTTATAAGGCTCTCCACTAGTATGAGCCCTTGGGGTTCACTTTTCACTCCACCGACCAAGGCTTGGGTTTTGCCCTGGAGGAATGGTCCCGTTCCCCCTTCCCCACCGGCGAGTGAAATGCATACTGTAGTTTCTGCCAGTACCTATGGAGCGTTAGTTCATTAAAGGACTGGGGGTCTCTGGCAATTTTAAATGCTCTCAGGTGTGTCCCCCCCTTTACTCATACACGTATGTTCATTTATCAGCAGCCACAAACTCTTTAGGCAGAGTACGGCCTCTGCCCGGCGCTGGTAGCAGACAGTTATTGATGAGGGTGCACAGATTATCAGCGCAATTAATCACCAGATGACACACATGGGGAAAAGATTCCACAACTCAAAGGGGAAAGAAAATAAAACCTTGACATCCCACTATTTAATGTCTGCTATATTATGCTTTTCCTCTGCCCTGCTAGAAATAACACGTTCTGAACCCAATCTTAAATAAAGAATGGACACATTAAAACTCCCTGGAGGAGTATCTGGGGAAAAAAAAGAGGAAAGAAATGTCTGAGTAATTGAAATAATAAAACTGTCAGCAAAAAACTGCCCTACTAGGCTAAATAAAAGATTTCCATTTTAACAAGCAAAACCTATTAAAAAATAAAATGTATGCGATATGTTTTTTCAGCCAGTTGCACCACTTAGCATATCATAAATAGCACAGTAAAACTTTCTTTAAAAACAAACCTAATAAAGGGAAAATAATAAACGATTACAGTCATTAAATACATATGGAGTGGGAGCTTGTCATTATATGAACACTAGGTAATTCAGCCACAGCCACTCCAAGCAATAATCTGCTTGAATAATGCCATGAAGTCACTTCCTAGGGAAGTTTGGAGCCTGAATGGAAGAGAAGGCTACTGCTGAAAAGGAGCACATTCAACTTTGAAACTGAAAAACAATCTTGGAAGGAAAAAAATAAACCGGATAATCCCCCTATTAAGTGCTAGGCAAAGAGACCAAATAGCTTGCTAAAATATTGGCATTAAACTGAAACTCTGCAGTAAAGGTAAAGTCCACCCAGGGTCTGAAGTCCACCCAGGAGAGCCCTGGCTGGACCAGCAGCCCTGGGCCTTGCTGCTTGCTGCTGGCAGAGAGGGACCAGAGCAGCAGGGCGAGGAAAATGCCCCGGTGCCGTACCAAATTGGAAAGCCCGTGCCTCATGGCACAGCGGGGAGGGACGTATGGCAGGTAGCGGCTGCACCGGCAGAGGTGCCATCACACGACAAAACCTGCTGTGAGATGACACCCTGAACACCGCACAGAAAAACTTGAATTAAACCCCTTTCTTCCTAGTTTCTCACAATAGGCGTTGTATTCCTCATATAGATATATATGTATATATACATATCCATACACACACAGCGTGTTGCTCCAAGCCCCTCTCAGCCCTACACCCTTTGCCCGACCCATCGCATGCCTTGCCAAGGAGAACGGACGCATCTCTGCCTCGCCGTTCACTGAAGGCAGACACAGTTTCATCGAATCTGGCTTCTATTAGCTGACTGTCTTTTTATATTTCCCCTGCAGCCTTTTTGTTTCCCGTGGATTGATTGCACTGAAAATTGAGCCCACACAGTAATTAATATGACGGAATACAGCACATTTCCCCATGAAAATGCAGTGCACGCTGTTTTGCAATTTCATACAGTCACTTTTGTTATATTCAAGAGATGGACTGCTTTAGTAGATACTGATTTACATCATGTGCTTTCCCGCACAAGGACTCTCTCCTTTGACGTTTGCAGAGAGTATACTTCCACAAAATTTTTTTCATTAAAATGACAAAATTTCCCTCCATGCTAGCTCACTCCTCATCCCCCTTAAGCCTCATTCTTTAATCGAAAGCTTTTCTTAGTCAAATTTAGTCCAGTGGATCTACTGTACCCAGGCTCAATCTGTTTATAATTTTCTTTCAACACACGGAAAATATTTGCAACCTCTTAAATGATGCATTGCAAACCAGGGCTAATCCAAGGACTCAGGAGGAGCAGCCGGTAAGTTCGCAGCCACTTGCTTATTCAGCGTCAACAGCATCCCAGGCACACCCAAAGAGTCGAGGGACCCGTGCTCCTATTTATTCATGTGGTGACTCTGTGTTATGGTACATGGGATTTGCATTACATGTTTGCGCTAACCTATAAAGTCTCCCTGCTCCAGGCAAGTGTCATGGCTGGGGTTCACCTCCCAGGGATGCTCTGCCACTCAGCACCCAAGGCTACTTTCCATACGGAGCTTATGTCCATATGGCTTTTCTCCTCCAAAATAGGGTTAACTCAACCGTAATGTCATTGGGAATGTGGCTCCCTGTGTGCTGCCCACGGACTGACAGAAATCAATGCTGTACCAGCAGCAAACCAGCAAGGGCAGCTGCGGGAGAGTGTTTGAGCTCTAAACTCATGGTGGAGATGTGGCCCGTTTGCCTAAAGCTGGTCTTGATCCCAACCCTCTCTACCCTGCTGAGACGGGACTTGGCATCCTGCTCTGAACAGACCTGGGCACACACAAAGTGCTGCTGCAATTTCGTTGTTCCAGTCTTTATTATTCTGGGATATATATATTTTTTTTTAATGGCAGCACCAGCTTTGCCCTCTCTACAGCACTTTTGAGCAGTGCACAGGAGGCAGAGTTGAAACTGCAGGCAGGCAAAGCAGAATTAGGTCTTTGTCTTAAAGAAATTTAAGACAAAATTTTCTGACCAGAAAGAGAAGGTAGGAGGAATTTCTCATTAGTGGAAGAGGACTGCTCCTGTCCTGCAGCTGGCACTGGCTCATGGAGCTGGACACACTGTCCCAAACATCAGCACAAGGAACCTTTTTCCCCTCTGATTTCGATCTTAGTTCCCTGCAAAGAAAAAGTCAAAAGAGGAGCAGCCAAGTGCAGTTACCTGAAATGCATTTAACCCTGGGAACAGCTCAAGTGTCACGCTGCGATCCAGACTAGCATTAGCCCTGCCCGGGGACTCAGAGCTGGGCAAAAATCAGCAAAGCAGCTGCAGCTGCATCTTCTGCATGGATGCCTGCTGGGTCTGCCTGCAAGGCATATGCGGCTCCATCTCTTAGTGCCTGCTCGGCCACCGAACAGTGGCTCTCCCCTGGTTCACCAAGGGGTGTGGGGAAAGCCCAGCGCCTGGAGAAGAAGCTAAGCTGGGTGTCCACATCACACATGGATGCCCCCAGCACGTGCCCTGCCTATCTCCAGAAATATGGGAATCACTTTCAAAACAATGCCCAGAAGATTCATTTAGTTTAAACTGAAAAAAAAAAAACCCCAAAATCCAACCATAAATATGAATACTTTTCATTTTTACTACATCTTTTACCTGAGGCTATGTGCCTTTAGCTCATGTCACTATCAACATGAGGAAGGCCAGAATAAACATTATTTCCATTTTCTCATTTCAGGAAAGAGAGAATCAGACTTGTCCCAATGAAACAACCAGGACATATAGCAATGTTCTGTTCCACAAGCCCTACCCCACTAAGAAAGGTGCATTGCCATCAAACCCCATTTTGAAGAGGGGCAGTAGGACACAGCTTGACCATATGAAAAAAGAGGCATTATCTGCAGTTCCAATGGGGAGACACAGGTTGCACTCTGGTTTCAGGGTTTCCTGAGATAAAACCTTACAGATCTAGTGTCTCATTACGGAGACTTCATGTATCGATCATGCAGATGATGCAAATCTTTCAAATCTTTCAGAAGATCTAGCCTGGTGCTGGAGTTTGCAATAAACTCCTAGAGTCCTCTGGTCTGGGGTCAACTATAGAAAGTTTTCCCAGCTCTAATGAAGATGAAGGAGGGAACAGAGATATTAAAAACAGAATCAGTGTCCGTTGTTATATTTTTAATTTTTTTTTTTTTTTTCCTGGCTGGATTGGGGGATTTTGCCTCTTGTTTCTTCCCAATTTGGAGTTCAAATGTAGATCCAAGCCTCCAGCACAGGCTGCCACACTGAGTGTCTCGGTTTAGGGCAGGTTTCAAAAAACTTTGAAAATGCCAATGGTTTTGTGTACACAGATGAGCTACCTCGTTATCTGGGCTCTGTGTGTGCACACCGTTGGCTGAACACCTGCACAGACACTGAAAGACCTTACAGTCTTCATTAGAGGCAAAGGAGAGGTCGCTGTAACAACGTCCTAATAGTTATTAAGGCTCTGTTCAACGGCTGGTGTCAGCCCGTGTCACTACACAATTTCTACATTTTTGTCATTTCTAATTTACAGACGTAACTTGGGAGAGATGAGGAGACATTTCAGCGTTACTTTTTACATACACCTTTACTTTACATTAACCCGTTTCACCATCAAGTTCATCAGGAAAGAGCCAAACTGATAAACAAAAAGAAAACAGCCCCTGCTGCAGGGAAGGAGAAAGGACATGCTCAACCTTTTTCTGAAGCAACCGATTTCTTTCATACCATCAGGAAAGCAGAACATGCAAACCTTCAAAGAAACGCTTTGGTTAAAGATGAGCACCAAAAAAACCCTCCCTTTTAATTCAAG